CACCCTCCACCCTGAGTCTCTGGCTCAGCAGGTCTGGGCGGGGCCTGAGAATCTGCACGATCACCAAGGTCCCAGGTGATCCTGGTGCTGCTGGTCCAGGGAACACACTTTGAGAACTGGAGTTAGATCAGCTGTCATCATTGCCCACCTCTGTCTTACACAATCATTTTAAACAGAATTTTCAAACAGATTTAAAATTACTTCAGGACAAAAGAAGGATCCTATACAACCCAAACTGAGGTATGCAAATCCACAGGCTAAACAGTGTCTGCCTAGAATACCAATGCCACCTACAGATTTGCAGAGGGAAAACAGCTAAATAATTTAACGGGCACTTTTATAACATGACATTATTGTTATCATGCAGAAATATACTTTCAAGGACAATGCATAACTTAGTGGAATTTTTTAAGACAGAATTAAGGGACTTCTAAGAACCCTCTGACTTTTCCAGGGATCACGTTTCGTGTTCTCCTCTGAAAAAGTTCCACACTAAACTGCACTTCTAGGCCTGTGAGTGTGTGTGTGGGGGGGGGGGCCTTGCACGTGTGTGCACGTGTGTTCTGTGTGTGCATACATGTACTGCAGGTACAGGTGTGTACTGTGTGTGCATGCATGTTATTCCCCTCACCTCAATCAGGATTTTGTTTTGATGGTGAGAGGTAGAAACCTCCCTGAGAAATGCCATTTTAGGTGTTTTCAGGTACTAACACTGTAGGTGAATTAATTGCATTAACATGTTCCATGAGGCTAGCTGTGGAATAAGAAAGAAATCTAAGTGGGAGGAAAAGTGAGGTGGGAAGGAGGAAGGTGGCTTGACGTGAGCTTCAAACCAGGTTGCTGTGGAGTGAAGGCTGGCAGGGTCCTGGCAGACACAGGCACCAGACGCAAAAACACACGTGCCCACCGACCCTCCGGCCCCACCCATCACCCCATCTAAATCGCCCCGAACAATCCCAGGCTACAGCAGTTTGTGAGAATAGGAGGGAGAATACTATCTGCCAGTCAACAGCTTAGACAGCTTCTCCTTCTACTCTGCAAGCAATACCATGAGAACACAATTTCTTCCTTCCCTGGGACAGCCCTGCGGGGCTCCCCAGGAGATCCTCACTGTGCCCAGTTATTAATCCTGGTTGTCACAGTCCCTCGAGAATCAGGGTTGGGACAAGTCGAGTTTTATTCTGAAGGCTGATTTTCCTGAAGTATTTCTTATGTTAAAAAAAAAAAAAAATCCAGACAGCCCAGCCAGGGTTGCTCAGTGGTTGAGCATCAACCCATGAACCAGGAGGTCACGATTCAATTCCCGGTCAGGGCACGTGCCTGGGGTTGCAGGCTCGATCCCCAATAGGGGGTGTGCAGGAGGCAGCCAATCGATGATTCTCTCTCATCATTGATGTTTCTATCTCTCTCTCCTTCTTTCCTCTCTGAAATCAATCAAAGTACATTTTTTAAAACTCAAGACAATAATGTGATTTAAATTTGTGAGCACTATGCCTGGCTGGTGTTGCTCAGTGGTTGAGTATTGACCCATAAACCAGGAGATCACAGTTCAATTCCTAGTCAGGCAATGCCCGGGTTGCAGGCTCAACCCTCAGTAGGGGGCATGCAGGAGGCAGTCAATCAATGATTCTGTCATCATTGATGTTTCTATCTCCCTCTCCCTTCCTCTCTGAAATCAATAAATATATATTTAAAAAAAACAAACTCAAGGGTCACTTACATGAACATGACAACAAGGACAGAGGCTTAACCTACAGAACACTAATCCAATTCCTAAGGACCTACCTGTCCGATGAACTCGGGGAAGCTGAGGATGGGCCCGTTGTGGAAGACTGGGTAATAGAAGACATAGGCCATCATCCAGGGCAAGGAGTAGAAGGTGCGCCCGCAGGGCAGCTGCTGCCAGCAGAACTCGAGGCTGAAGCTGGTGTAGTACAGGCAGCGGACGGTCAGCGTGAACTGCAGCAGGTAGTACTCGTTTTCTGTCTTGTACCACCCTCTCTGCAAAGTCGCCAGGAAAGAACAGCCCGTGAGTGGCAAGGAGGGACATGGCCAGTCTCCAGGGAAGGAGATTTCTTCCACAGGTAGAGCCGCAGTGCCATAAAGGGAGTCGAGAACCACTGAACAGCAGGTAAATCCGTGGTAATCGAAACAAGCAGTTAAAGAGCAGCGGGCAGAAGAGTGTCTCTAATATCAACCATCAACTCAGCATTAAGCCTGATGCAACATAATGAAGATTTTCCCAGTATGCACCTGTCGATCCATCCATTGGGTATCCTGGAGGTTAGCCACTACCCATGGACACTGTGACAGCTCCTCCAACAATTCTGAAGACAAAGCGAGGCTTATAAATGTCACACGGATTGTCCACTAGCTCATCTTTCCCATCAGGTGCCCATCCAGGGCACACGAATTCCAAGTGCCATCACTTGAATCAATGAGTGAGTGAGTGAATGAATGAATGAATGAACAAAAATAAAGACACCACAGGAATTCCAGCTCTGCGGTGATTTAAGAAAAAATATAAAAAACTTTCCAACATTTTCTATGCAAAGAAATACCCGCTTTATCTGTCTCGGGGGCTATCATGGGCACCAGATGAGACAAGGCTTGTGCGAGTTTCCTGTAAATTGTACAGTACTCTCCAGATGACTTTTGATGAAATGCACAGGGACTATTGCTTTCTTTTCTCTCTATTGCTGACCCTCTGTTGCTGTGATATTTGCCACCATCTATGCCTACCCAACCTGGAAGAAAAGGTTAGCCCTGTGCAACCTCAGAGGGCTAAGACATATATGGCTACAAAAGACGACTGCAGAATGCAACACCAGGGTTCACATGCATCAACCGCACGTGGCCACTAGGAGGAGCCCCATCACAGTTCTTCAATTGTTGCCTGAAAAAGGGATCTATCTACAGGATGGGGGCACCACCCAAGGGACCTTCTCCTCCCCAACGGAGACACTTGCCTTAATTTCCTCCACATCCTGCAGCCTCAGCGTGGAGAGCAGGAGGAGAGAACAGAGCCATGACAGGAACAGTGACCGGAACTGGGCTACGCAGAAGGAGATGACGGTGTGGAGGAAGATCATGGCCGTTCCTGGGGTCCCCAGCACACACCAGCAGGCCCACATCCCGTAGGCGGTGAGGAACCAGGGTCTGTGCTGTGGACAGAGGACCCGTGAGAGAGGCACAGAGGGAGGGGAGGGAAGAACAGAGATAAGGGGGAGCTAAGGAGCATTGTTATGGGAGGTTCTACCTACGAGAGACTAATGCTTGGCGACCCCCTGCACACACTATCCTGCAAAAGTGATGGTGAAAGCAAGTATTGGTGAACACCTCTCAGGAGTCTTACTGAGAAACCCGGGCCATCCAAACCACAAAAGGCTTTGAAAGTCTAAACCGCAGATTTAATATTAAATATTTAATTACATTTTTACTTCATTAGCATATTGTTTACAGTCTAATTTATGTCACAGAAAACGTGTATCTTACCTGCTTTTTGTGATATTGAGGCCTTTGCACAGTCAACCTGATTAAAACATTGTCTCATTTTAGAAGAGTCAGAGACTATCTTTCTATTATCAAGTTTTATAGTGATTGCCATGGAGTAACTAAATAGGTAAATTAGCATGTCTTTGCTTTCATGATAAATTCTTGGTCATCTCTGGCTCACTTAAAAGCCACACTGATGTTTAACGTTGTTTGAAAGGCAATATATCACAGTGGTTTAATTACTCATGGTTTTAAGTCCAACGGCCTAAATAAATCCTAGTGTCCCCATTAACTAGCTGTGTGGCCCTAGGTAAGTTGCTTCATGTCTCTTGTGTCTCAGGTTTTTTTTTCATATATAAAATTAGGATAATACCAGTACCTCCTTCAGAAGGTTATTGTGAGGACTTAGCAAGTAAATGCATGTGAAATGCTTACTAGTACAGTGGTCTCTGCATACACAGTACGAACAGTAGAAATTTCAGTTGTTATCCTATAGGGAAATAGGATGTGTCCTTTCAGCGTGCATATAAAATATGGTTTCCAGGAATGTCTTCTTGTAAAAACAAAAAGCCTCCTTGAAGGGAAAGGCAGATGTGGGCTGTAAATTGTAAATCCCATCCTTAGATGCTAACTCTTCCAAAAAAAAAAAATTGCTGAAGTACAATTTTTCCTAAACCTATACTCCAGCTCAAGAGAGAACGTTTTAAATGAGCGATTATGTCAGCCACTTTTAAGTTCCAAGAAAATCAGAGAAATCTGCAGTTCATTTTTACTATTTTTCCATCCTACCGCCCACAGGAAACAGCCACATAAATTTGCTTCAAACTTTCCCCCAAACACTCACCTCTAGGCAGAGTGCAAGTATAAGAAACAAGGTCGCCAAGGGTGTTTTAAGAAGTAGTCACAACAAATGAAAAAAAAAAAAAAGGTTCTTTTGCAACATGACCTACAGCAGCATTATTTACCACTTGGGATTGTTTCATGCTACGTACATGCACATATACACAGCCACATTTTTATTAAGTGCTATTTGATCCATTTGGAAAAAGCCTGTTTTCTGGGATTCGTTTGGGAATTGAACCACAGACTTAAGCTGCTTCAACTTGGAAACGCTGACCGAACCTTCAGGAAATACTTCATAGTGCTGTGCAAACCCCATGTGCTCAAGAGATTCTCTGATGAGTTCCCCGTGCTCGCAAAGGCTACCTGGGGGCACGTGAGCTGGTCCCATATTCCATTCCCCACTGTCTCCCTCCTGCCAAACAGTCCAGGCAGGCGACATCTGACGTCGTTCTCTCTAAGACTTCACAGAAAATGCTCTCTCGTTCACCTCGTGTTCTCTACAAACCCTCATACCACCCACCCATGCTCACCCATGGGTAAAGGCAAATCTACTACATATGTTCACGGTGAACAGGCGATGAAAAGGAAAAGATGTGGACAATGCAAAAGAAGCACCTATAAGATCCTGATTTTCATACTTTGTCTATAAAAATGCATGGACACAGACGATATGTGGTGAAGGCCTGGGGCAAGGGGGACCGGGGGGGCGGGGAGGGTACATCTATATAACGTTCGACTACAAAGGTAAATTTTTTTAAAATGCGATTGTAATCCCATCCACAAAACTCCACTAAAATCCTGATATAAGGTGAGTAGCCCTCCATGCCTCATTTCAAAAGTTACACAGCAGTAATCAGCATAATTCCCTGGATATCCATCCACGTTGCTGCAGGCACCAAAGCTTGGCTCCCCTATTGCTGCATAGCATCCCATGATGTGGACGTAACACCATTTGCTTCACCATTCACCCGTTTGAGGACATCTGGGCTATTTCCAGTTTGAGGCCATCATAAATAAAACTGACATGAACATCTGTGTTCAGGTTTAGTGTAAAAAATAAGTGTTCATTTCTCTGGAACGAATGCCCAAGTGTGAACTTGCTGGGATGCGTGGTAGTGACACGTTGAGTTCTGTAAGAAATTACAAACAGTTTTCCAGAATGGCCATCTCCGGTTCTCACCAGCAATGTATGAGTGGCCCAGTTCACCCGGATCCTCAGCAGCATTTGGTGTTTGTTACTGTTACAGCTGAGCCATTCTGGTGGGTGTGCAGGGCTATCTCGCTGCTCTTTGAAAGGATATCAAAGTCCGAGCAACCTGAAGCTGGAGAATAAGACAGGTTGAACTTTGCTGGATGCAAAATTCATCAGAACGATCCCAACTCCTTAACTCTCTTTATTCCAGGCTCTTCCATTTCTAATAAAGATAAAAGGGAAAGCAGGGGCAGAGGAGAAACTTCTAAAAAATCTAACAAACATTGTTTAAAAACTGTCCTCAGTTTTCTGGCAGAAGAGATGAAGCCAGACTAAGAATACGATGGCCTTTCTGAGGGGACACAGGGCTTACTGCCCAGACTGAAGTAGGGAGGCAACCTTCCCCTACTCCCCCTGCTCCCTGTGTCCACACTGAACCATTTCTCAAAAGGGGGCAAGGGAAGCTGGCTCTCTACTTGATGGCCTCCCTTAGAAGACTAATATCCTGTCGTGTTCATGTTATAATAATGTAAGCCCAGCCAGAACCGGTTTGGCTCAGTGGATAGAGCGTCAGCCTGCGGACTCAAGGGTCCCTTGTTCGATTCCAGTCAAGGGCATGCACCTTGGTTGCGGGCACATCCCCAGTGGGGGGCGTGCAAGAGGCAGCTGATCAATGTTTCTCACTCATCGATGTTTCTAACTCTCTATTCCTCTCCCTTCCTCTCTGTAAAAAATCAATAAAATATATATTTTTTAAAAAATAAATAATGTAAGCCCAGAACGCAATGGGTACCTAGCATATAGCAAGTGTTTCATAAATACTAGATGGGAAGGAGGAGTGGATGGGTGGATGCAAAGATGGATGGATGGATGGATGGATGGATGGATGGATGGATGAATATGCTTCCCCAAGTCTTGGGATTTAACCTGGTAGTTATGACTAAGACATAACAAGAAATCAGCACCAACATTTTGGACTTTTTGGTCCGCTAATGTGAAATCCTGCAGTTTTCCAAAGTCTCTACTTATACCACTTAACCCCTTATAAACAAAGGCTGCTTTGCCAATGGATCTGAAACAGAGGGGAGTCTTTCCACACCTCACTGCCTACTGTGTGTTCCCCACGCTCAGGGGTCTTTTATGTTGGGGGGAATCTCAAGTTGGCACCTGGTAGGGCACAGGCCCCCACCTGTGGGAGCAGACCTCTGCTGTACAACTGCTGCCTACTGCCCCAGTGAGGTCTCCCGGGCACAAACCAGTTGAGCTGGCGCATTCCCAAGGCTGAAAGCAGCGCCCCTGAGAACAGCCGGGGGACTGGCCCCCCTTCCTCCTGCAATTCTACCGTCTTCAGATGTTCTTCACAGGGAGGCAGGGAGAGCTGGCTGGCAGTGCCCCCGCTCACACCATCCCTACTTCTCTTCTGCTCTAGCTTTGCTGGGCTGTGGGCACGGACTGGTAATAGGATGTGCCTGCGTGGTTTCCCTCATTATCTCTGTCGGGAGAAACGAAAATGCCAGGCCTCGGTGAAGACTCCTGTTGGCAACTGTACCAGACTGTGCTGTGTATTCATTCTCCCGCATCTGCCTGAAAACCACTGGGTGGGGCACTGTTTGAGAAATAAATGAAAGGAGTCCATCGGTGATCCTGATGCATGGCACAGTTTATTACATAATCAAGGGGAGCCGCTGCTGAAAAATATGTCTGTATATCTCCGCAAACAAACAGGGAGAAAACAAAACCATCCCAGAGTCCAAACAGCTGCCTTCCAGCCTACTTTTCCTGGGAGCAAGGCGGGAGGGAGCTGGAGGGAGGGGCTCCCTCCCTGGATCTGCACTGATGGAGGAGGAAGAGCCTGGTTCCAGGAGAGCCACTAGTGCCTGGGATCCCTATTAGGTGTGCGGTTTCGGTAACCAGCTGGGAGGAGGGCCTGTTCCCCCTCGGCCCTCCCGAGGTTCCTTCACTCATCTCAGCCAACACGCCTTCAGTCCTGTGGCCGATGAGCTCAGCGGGCTGGGCCCGGATGCTAATGATGTGGGTTCAGATACAGGGAAAACTGCTCTGTGGTTAGCAACAGCCCCAACCCGCAGCCCCCACCCGGGGCGGCCTTCTCAGAACCTTCCTGCAGGGTTATTTTCCGTTCTGAGGGCTGAGAACACATGGTCTCAGGTAGTGGCGAGGCCACAGGGGTGTTGGAGAAAGGAGGAACTGTCTGACCCGCCCAGCGCACATGCCAATCATAACAAACCACAGCCCGGGCCCAGAGCCGCTATTCAGCCGCCCCTCCCAGGGCACCGGGCCCTGGCGCAGTCACCAAAACCCAGAGAGCCCTGCCCAGAGAAAAGGCCTTTAACCTCGGCCAAGGAGCTCAGTGGAAAGTTTCATTACTTGTCATGGCAAAAAAGAAAGAAAGAAAGCTACGCTTTTGAAAATAAGCTGCCTCTCTTTGGAAGGAGGCAGGGCTTGCAAGGGGAGAGACGAGATTAGGTATTAGATGGAGATGCGAAGCATCCTTCAGGGTTTAAGGGCTGTTACACCAAGAATCGCTAACATCTGGCCCGCACAGTGCTGGTCACAGTTCAGGATGCCTCCAAGGACAGGGAAATAAATGAACTCCGGTCCAAATCGTCCACCCTAAGGACCAAAACACCCACCCGAATTAGGGCCATCTGGAACACTTCGCCCAGGTGGTGAAAGCACAGAGCTCGTGGGGCCAAAGCTGTGGTTCATACTTATATAAGGGCCAAGCAGCCGCGCACAAAGAGAGCACTGTGCCCCAGCCCCAGCCAGAGCCCTGCTCGCCAGCTGTCCCACAAATCAAACCTGTGGTCCCAAAGGGGACGGGACACACACACACACACACAGAGAGAGAGAGAGAGAGAGAGAGAGAGAGAGAGAGAGAGAGAGAGATGACTCTGTGAACTCTGTCTCATTCCAAGAAAAATGCAAAGCCACCTCCTACTAACTTTGGATGACATGTGTTCTGCAGAGAAAATGACAGGTCCAGCCCAGTGGTTGAGCATCAACCTATGAGCCAGAAGGTCATGGTTCAATTCCCGGATGGAGCACATGCCGGGGTTGTGAGCTTGATCCACAGTGTGGTGTTCAGGAGGCAGCCGATCAATGATTCTCTCTCATCACTGGTGTTTCTATCTCTCCCTTCCTCTTATATATTAAGACAGGTCTGCCTGTGCACCCTGCCTGAGAATGAGATGCCAAGCTGAAGTAAGCAAACAACTCTACTTCCTTCAAGCCCCAGCTCAAAGCCACATCCTGGGAGGCCTTCCCTGTCACCGCAAGGCAGAAGTGGCCCACTCCTTCCCCGAGCATGGCACCCAACCCACCACCACATGAGGTCCAGACTGAGACCAGCGTTTCGTTTCCTAGGTAACCTCTCAGTTCTCCAAAGGAAGGGGCGTGTCTCCCAATCCCTTCCCCAGCACCCAGCACACACTTGAAACAGGGTTGGAGAAGGACATTCATGAGAGGAGTGTTGGCATGACTGCACAGATAGCCTCTGCCCTCAGAGATTTGGGATCTCAAGACCGTCGCCTCCTTTCTTGAACACCGTGGAGAGGACTGCTCCCAGGAGCAGACGACAGTCTCAGCACATGCTAAACGCCAGCAGATGACAGCAGCCACTGCCTCTTGCTCGGCTGTCATCCTAAAGCAAGCATCACCTTGAAAAATATCAGACCCTCAGCACTACCCCAAGAAGCAAATGCTACCATCCCTGTTGCACAAATGAGGAAATGAATTCAAAGGTATTAACTAACTTGCTGAAGACTGCATAGCTTAAAACCCGCAAAGCTGGGAGCTAGCCAGGTGCTCCTAACCACACTCAATACTGCCTCCCAAGATGGAAAGAGTCTTAACTCAAAGTTGCAAGCAAATTAAACAGAGGGACATCTATATCCTAAACCAGTGGTCGGCAAACTCATTAGTCAACAGAGCCAAATATCAACATTACAATTGAAATTTCTTTTGAGAGCCAAATTTTTTAAACTTAAACTATATAGGTAGGTACATTGTTATTAACTTAATTAGGGTACTCCTAAGGCTTAGGGAGAGCCACACTCAAGGGGCCAAAGAGCTGCATGTGACTTGCGAGCCGCAGTTTGCCAACCACCGTCTAAACCAGTGATGGCAAACCTTTTGAGCTCGGCGTGTCAGCATTTTGTAAAACCCTAACTTAACTCTGGTGCCGTGTCACATATAGAAATTTTTTGATACTTGCAACCATAGTAAAACAAAGACTTATATTTTTGATATTTATTTTATATATTTAAATACCATTTAACAAAGAAAAATCAACCAAAAAAAATGAGTTCGCGTGTCACCTCTGACACACGTGTCATAGGTTCACCATTACTGGTCTAAACCATAAGAATCATGCAAATTTCTTGTTAGATTTGATTGAGCAACTAAATTTATACCCCTCCCCCGGGAACTGGCTTTTCAGGTCATTGCACTATGGACATTCCCTTTGCTGAAGACCACATTTCACTTGCGGTGACCACATTCCATTATCTCCCCTCCGGGTATGCATAAAGAAGTCTCTGCCCAGAAAAAAACCCGCCAAAAGTCCTTTAAAAGCCGCTGACTCCCGTCACTGGGTGCTGGAGCCAGCCTGGTGTGCAGATGATTTTGTAAGTTTGTAATCCCTCATCACTCTGGCCTCATTCCTCCTTTGCAGATCTACCATTTCTGATGATGGTAAGTGCAGGAGTTGAAAACTGAGGAAGTTTGGAAAGAGGGAGGAGCACCCAGCCAAGAACCTAGAGTTCATCTACATTTCACATCCTCAATGGGGGTTATAGCTCCTCCAATGGAGGGGGAATTGGTTCTTGATGAAAAACGTACTCTTTATAAATAAAAGGCATACGTTCAGTACATAAACAGGTATGCAGTACATCTGTAGTTCAGATTTCATGGAGCAGTGACAATTAGGAAAACAGCTAAAAAGGCTCCTGGAGGGGGGTCATAATGAAGAAAGCTAGAGAAACACTCATCTATGAGTCACAAACAAGTAGTAGCAAGAACAAGAGGGAAGCAAAGGAGGCCAACCAGACGGGACACGCGGGTCCTGAAATATGGTGGGGGGGTGGGGAGGGGTGCAGACAGAACATGAAGAATTCAGTGTGCCCAAAGCAACCTCACCTTGCCTTCTACTCATGTGATCAATTAAAAACATATCAAATCTCATACACACAGAAAAAAATATCTGTGACGTTTGTAAGGTGAATGAAGAATAATGAAATAGCACCGCACACCCACCAGCAGCTTAAGAAAAACAAGGCTCTCAGTGCTTTGATGGGCTCTGGGTATCTACCCCCCACACCCCAACCCCAGCCCAATTCTTTCTACATCCTTCCCTAACCAGCCGTGACCACTGTCCTGAGTTTTACGTTGATTTTGTATTATCTTTCTTTGTAAATTTGCAAGTGTGAATCTAGTTTGCACACTTCTGAGCTCTGTATACGTGGGATCCTATCTGACAGATTCCGCTACAACTTACCCGATTAGCTCAATGTCATAATCCAGAAATTCATCCATGCTGATAACTGTAGTTTTACTTCCAAACCTTTACATTCATTGGTTTGGAAAATAACTTGAAGGAAGTACATATGGGATAAGGACGTGTTACCCCTGTATCTGAAATGTCTGATCGATCATTAAGAATTCATTCGCATCTCTTCCAGGCTCATATCCATGTCTACTGATTCTTAGCTCAGGGCCCTTTCTTCACAAAAAGCAAAGGAGAAAGAGGCTTAAAAGGAAACGGTGCAGAGTCATACCTTCCTTGCAATCTGGTTGGCCATTTGCGACACAGCCAGGTGGCCGAGGAGGAGCCACACCAGCCGCTGCTTCCCCCACTCCATCCAGAAGCTCCACTCGAAGTCGGTCTGGTCCTACATAGGCCAAAGCAGAACTGATCAGAAAGGTTCCAGGACATTCTGAGGCAGAACACAAGCTCCAGCTAATAAACCAACTAGAAAGAGGGCCAATGGGAGTCCAAACTCTACAAGCTTGACCCCCGGTGGGGGGCATGCAGAAGGCAGCCGATCCATGATGATTTACATAATACTCCCATCCTTGACCCCACTGAACCCCGACCCACATACGCTCTCCCCTCCAGCGTGGCTGGTCTCATTGCTGTTCTCCAAATAAGTGTCTTTGTTAAAGGTGATTCCCAGGACCCTCTGCAGGATAGAAACTATCATTATTCCCATTTTATAAACAATGAAACGGGGGTTAAAGAATTCAGTTGTTACCCAGCATCACACAGACAGTGTAAGTCATGAACTGAGCTTATCTCAGCTTAGTTATCTCTCTCCCTCTCCCTTCCTCTCTAAAATCAATAAAAATATATATTTTTAAAAAGTGGCGGGGGGTGGAATCAGGTGGCCCAAGTTCTAGTCACATGTCTGTCGCTGTGTAAACCGACCAGGCACTTAACTTCTGCCTACCCACATACACTCTCCCCTCCAGCGTGGCTGGTCTCATTGCTGTGCTGTGTGGGAAATGAAGGTCTGAACTAGTGCGATGTCTAAGATTCCTTTCAGAAGGTGAAAAAACTTATTTTCCAGGCTAAAGGAAAGAAATACTAAGGGTGTGGGTCACCCACGCCCAGGAATTCTGAGCCTTGACTGCCTGTGACCTTTCAAGAGAGGGCTGATCTCCCTGCTCACCACCTCGTGACCAAGACAGGTCTCCAGGTTCCCACCCACATTGGCAGCCTGCTCTGTTCCAGAAAGTTCCCCACTCATCCGGCCTGCCCTCTTCCCCAGAAATGGGAAGAACCCACCACCGTGTGTGGATTTACTGCACGGTATGGCCTGCCCACCTCGGGGTAAGAAAACTACCCTCAGAGAGGTTAAATATCATGCCCAAAGTCTCCCAGCCAATCATGGCAAAGCCCAAGTTCAAAACCCAGGTCCTCAGGCTGCAAAGTCTGTGTTCCTGTGATACCATACGGAGTACGGCTCTGGCTGGTGCGGCTCAGTTGGTTGGACGCCATCCTGTGCACTGAGAGGTCACCTGTTTGATTCCAGGTCAGGGCACATGCTTGGGTTTCAAGCTTGATCCCTGGTGGGGGGGCATGCAGGAGGCAGCCGATCGATAATGTTTCTCTCTCTCTCATCATTGATGTTTCTGTCTCCCTCTCCCTTCCTCTCTCTCTAAAAATCAATAAAAACATATTTTAAAAACAAAGAAAAGATAAAGTCTCTAGAAAGCGTGGACTCAAAAGGAGTGAATCCATAGATAACAGAAAGACTGCAACATCTGAAATGCCATAGGAAACACCCATCATACCCTTCTCCTCAAAATACTAGTAAAAGGAAGGTCTGCTCCATATGGCAGACACCACCACTTGACTCAATCAACACTCCAACCCCCTGCTGGAACGACTTCCTATAGACATTAGTGGTTGGAAAGCAGAAAACTACATTGCCCAGAATCCCCTGCAGCTAGCACGTCTGCACACATCATATGACCTTGCTTCTGGTGAACACAGGAAGACGTTGTAGGCGAAAGAACCTCAAGAAACATGGGCTATGAGACTCTCCTGAAAGAATGGTGGCAGAGACTCGGAGGCCCCGGCAGGCCAGCGGTACACAGCTTCCTGGAGGGGCATTTGGGGAGTTCTCAAGCCGTGAACTGGGCAGCAGCCCCGTGTTGCAGGCTACTCTGGGAATGGCTCCTGGAAGCTCACTTTAGTGCCTGTCCCCACAGTTTTTTTTGACTATTCTGAGAGCTCCTGAAATTCCCACAATAAATTCCTTTCTGTTTAAACTGGCTGGAGAGGAATCTGTTGTCTCTGTGGAAACTTGATCAACATCCTTTGAAGTTTTGTTTGTTTGTTTGTTTGTTTTGATCAACATACTTTGGAAAGAATTTTTCTTCTGATTGCAATCCAGCTTTAGTTTCATAATAGAAGCATTATGAAAAGAATTCACTTTGTAGAAAACTTCTGAAATAAGTCTGTTCAGTGGAGGAAAACGAAATGGAGGAAGACAGCAGCTAGGTCAGTCCGAGGAATGCTCTGGAACTGGATCATGGAGGCAATGAGTGTTTACGTTAGAACACAGTCACCAGTGAACCTAGGTGTGCGGTTCAAACCCAGTAGAAAAGGCTCCATCTTACTATCGGGCAGCATTTTTCACTGGCATTCCTCTTTTCTCCTCAGACAGAGCAGACAGTGCAGAGATGAATAGATTCACTGTTTTCCTTATCCTTGTATCCGGAATTTTGCAACAATAACAAAAGAAACACAACGGAAGCACTAGACATTTTTGTGTTATCTATTTCCGAAATGACATCATGTGCATAGTATTTACTTTGAGACCGGACCTAATTCCCAGTCACACTGAGCAAAAGTAATTTGTTTACAAGGCTCCGAGGAAACCTTTACAAGGTACTTGAATCCGGAAACATTTCCCTGCACTTTCAGAGGCAGCGCGCTCGCCTTAATGGCCTATAAATCTCCCAAGGAGAGAGGGAAAAGGAGGGCGTATTTACATGAATTCTGCACAGGAGCAGCGCTGCTCTCTGGGTGAACTCAGCCCAATGATTCATGTAGCAATTATTGCAAGAGTTTGCTTTTCTTTCAACAGATGCCTTGCTCTTTCTAAAATAAGTTGAACTAAATTAGTTTACTGCTCTCAATTTTCGGAGACAACACTCCTTCCCCTGCCAACATTTCCTCAAAGATGAAATGTTTTCATTAACAAAACTTCCTCCCCCCTGCCCCCCCGTAAATAACAAAATCTCTGCTTAAGTGTCTTCCCCATCCTGTACAGGTGAAGGTGAAGAAGATGCTCACGGGGGTCAGGATGCCACTAACTGGACTAGCATAGGGCACATACCATCCCAGTCTCTTAAAGGGCCCTCATAATCTAGGCTGGGCAAATCGGCCCAGGGTAGAAAGGGGGCAGGGAGGTGTTTTGTAGAAGAAGGAAAGAGAAAACTTCTCGAGGACTTAGTTAAATCAAGAGAACCTAATTGATGTGGGGGAGTTCGTTGAATCTCTTCAACCTAACGGCCAACCTAAACTCAGTAACTTCCTCTGGCTACACCGCTACCTCCCTCCCTCCTAGAATTCACTCCAGATTATGCCAGACATATGCGGATACTTGAGCAAGTACAGATTCTGTCTCCCTGTTTTGCCTATTCCCCATTTCTCCCTTTAGTCCTAGAGCTTACAAAAAATAAATCACTGCCCTAGCCGGTTTGGTTCAGTGGATAGAGCGTTGGCCTGTGGACTGGGGGGTCCCAGGTTCGATTCTGGCCAAGGGCACATGTCTGGGTTTCGGCTTGATCCCCTAGTAAGGGGCATGCAGGAGGCGGCCGGTCGATGATTCTCTCTCATCATTGATGTTTCTATCTCTCTATCCCTCTCTCTTCCTCTCTGAAATCAATAAAAATATATTTAAAAATAAATAAATAAATCACATTCTAAAAGAGAAATACTAAATTCTAGTACGAAGGCAAAGGCACAAAAAAAAAGGTATTATTTTCCCCACATCCTCAAACCGGAAAAAAAAACACGTTTTCTACAAGGTACATATATGGAGAAATGAGGTGCAAACAGTTAATAAGGCTATTCAATAAGTTAGGGATCCTGACCCCCCAAAAAGTGTAACAGAATGTGATGACTAGATAGCAAATGACATAACCTCGTAAGATTCCCCAGCTACAAACCATGCTAATAAAGCCTACATCCCATTCGCGTCACTTGTGCAGAATACAGAAAGACTAAGCGAGTCACAGTGACATGGAGAAAAAATGGTTCCCAGGCCTTTGGGGACCATGGTTCCTGAAATGGTCCTCACACTCAAGAGAATCTGCTTTCTGCCTAGAAAGTCTTCACACACTCAAGAAAACTAGTTCATATATAACATCTCTGCAGCGGGCGAACACGAGAAACTGGAAATCCAGATGGAATCCCAAAATGTTGAAGGTCCCCGAGGCAGAGGTGAGTGATAAAAGAGAGAAAGGAAAAGCTAACATTCTTGCCATAGTCCAAGGGGAGAAGAGGGGAGCTCTTCATAATCTCAGATACCATTGTTTTTGTTGTTGTTGTTAATCCTCACCTGAGGATATTTTTCCCAATGATTTTAAGACAAAGTAAAAGGGAGGGAGCGAAGGAGGGATCGAGGGAGGAAGGGAGGGAGGGAGAGAGGGGAAGAGAGAAATGTGAGAGACACATGGATTGGTTGCCTCCAGCACATGCCCGGACTGGGGTCGGGGACCAAACCTGCAACCCAGGTACATGCCCTTGACTAGGAATCAAACCCAGGACCCTTCCATGCTCAGGTCTATGCTCTAACCACTGAGCGCACCAACCAGGGGCACAGATACCATTTTTCTCCTTGAATCTTACACACCGGGTGGAAGACCAGGAAAGTGGGCCGAGTATGTGAAAGAACTCCCCCACACATCATTTCAGTCTGTCCCCTTGACCCATCAGCTAGCTATCCGAGCTCTCAAAGAGAGAGCTCCCTGTGAAATAACAGAAAATATGTATACTGGTGCACCCGATGACTGGCACTGCGCTCCTCAGACCCTTGGAATTTCCTGTGACAAGAGCAATAGGAGCATCTTTTGTTCTCCTAAGCCCCTTGGGATTTCCTGGGTGCTAACACTGTGTTTTGTTGGAATGAGGTGAGTCTGGGTGGGCTCCTGGATGGGGCTGTTCACCAGAAAGATCAAGCCATGGGTAGAAGCTTGGGGTTTTCAGTGCCACACTCCATTCTTCTGAGAGGGGAGAGGGGTTGAAATAGAGTTAATGACTGGTCATGCCTCGTGATAAAGTGCATAAAAGTCCCCAAAATGCAGGGTTCAGAGAGCTCCTGGGTTGGTGAACAGGTGGAGGAACTGGGAGAGCGGGGGGCCTGGAGAGGGCCTGGAGGCGGCCTGGAGGCTCGGCACCCCTCCCACACACCTCACCCTGTGCATCTCTCCCATCCGGATGATCATCCGTATATTTTATCGCATCCTTTTATAATAAACTGTTAAACAGCAAGTAAAATGCTTTCCTGAGCTCTGTGAGCCACTCTAGCACATTAACTGGCCCTGAGGAAGGGGCCATGGGTACCACCTGGACGTGCAGTTGGCATCCGAAGGCAGGGGGGTGGGAGCATCTTGTAGGACTGAGCCCTTCACCTGTGGGATCTGAGGCCATCTCCAGGGAGAGTGTCAGCTATTGAGTTGAATTGCAGGACACCCAGCTGGTGTCTCAGAATTGCTTGGTGTAGGGAAGCCCCCCACACAACTGGTGTTAGAAGTATAGTGTGAGAGTAAAGGAGAAACACGGAGGAGCAGAGTCTGGGTTCTCTATACATGCCCATCCCAGAGCACCTCTTAGGAGAGTCAGCCATGGTGGTAGCTAAGGTGCCTCCAAGGCTGCGGACGGAGACCACCAAGAACAAGAACCAAGGCTCACCATGCCTCCAGCATCCATCGCCCGCAGCACACTGCCTCTGCCATCTCTCTGCAGAAACGTACCCGTTTGCTATTAAAATAACTTATCTTTTCTACGATGTCGGAAACTAACTTTAAAATACGTCAACGCAGAGACTTCTGGTTCCCGGCGAGATATAATAAACACCGTTCTCCCTAACCTTCCCACCAAGGACAACTAAAAGCCCTGAGTGTAATTATAAGATAAACCATAGGAAGACCCCAAAAGATGGCAAAAAGAAGAAAGACTGGCTAGGGACCTCAGGACTTGAGGAATGACAATGAAATAAAATAAATAAAATAGCTCACTGGATAGGCTTACTAGCAGAGGTAGACGACTCAGGAAAGAAGCATTGAACCTAAAGATGAGTCAATGAAAATCACACAATCTGAATAACAGAAAAAAAGTAGGCTGAAAACATAAATAAACAGAGCCTCGGAAATCTGTGGTACAATTATAAAGATCTAACATTCATGTGATTCGTGAAATCCTAAAAAAAAAAAGAAGAAGAAGAAGAAGAGAAAAAACGTGGGGCTGAAAAAAATATTCAAAGAAATAACGGCTAAAAATTTTGCAAATCTGGCAAAAGGCATAAACCTACAGATTCAAGAAGCCGAATGAACCCTAGTCAGTTTATATGTACCAATTAAAAGGCAGATTGGCGGAACGGATTTTTAAGAAATGATCCAACTCTATGCTGTCTGTAAGAAATTCACTTTAAATACAACAATATAGGTAGGCTGAGAGTAAAAGGATGCAGAAGGATACATACTCTACAAACATCAATCAAAAGAAAGCAACAAGAACCCAAAAATAGAGCCACACAAGTCTGGTCAACTGATTTTTGACAAAGGTGCAAAAACAATTCAATGGAAGAATCGTCTTTTCAACAAAAGGTGCTATAACAAGTGGCCATCCATAAGCAAAAAATAAAATAAAATAAAAGTAAAAATAAAACCTAGCCAATGTGTCTCAGTGGTTGAAATTGGGTCTGAGGTTTGCCTTCATGAACGGGAGGGAACTCTCTGTGGTTCTGTGCCTTAATTGTTGGAGGTTGGGAAAAGGAGAGGAGAGGACCGCACCCAGAGTCCCAACATACAGAAGGAATAAAACCAGTTTCCGTGATTGAGCCAGAATGAGGTTTAGAGCCCAGTCGGCCTGACCTCTGCTTCGCCCTCTAATGGTGGCTCAAGAGGCACCCAGTGACTACTAAGGTATCTGTACAATATCAAGGGTGATGACTGAGCCTCATTTGCATACCCATAATACCCTGCACAGAGTACAATCCTTTTCAAGTTTAAAATACTTTTTTTTTTAATTTGTCATTTCTAAGTGCAAGAAACTTACTTGAAAAACTTCTTGTGCAAACTTTAGGCAGAAAGTACCTCTAGTCCTAAAAAGCCACCATAACTGAACTAGGAGTTGTAGTTACTGGAGGAGGGAATTTGGGAGGGACAAAGCATACTCTGGTTTCTCTTCAGATCGCATAAATCTTTCGCCTTTTACTAAAGATTTCCGTGGAGAGGAACAATTCTGAGTTTATACTCAATTTTTTGAGGCCTTGCCTTGGCAGGGCTAACCTCACGGTTACAAAAAAAAGGTTATTTCTAAATTAGGACACTTCTCCAGTTTCATTACTGGTGGCTAAGTCTGGCGGTTGTCACGTGGCCTGGAGCTCCGCCCACTTCCTCCTATGCTACTTGCCTCCTGAGTGTCTATCTACATGGATGACAGAATTGGGCCTGAGATTGGCCTTCATGAAACCTGGGTGTAAAGTCATGCTGGACAACTCACCCACCTGGAACTCAGCAGCGACTGTTACCCTGACAGTGGCTTCAGTCAGTTCCCCACACACAGAGGCCACCCTCACACTCACTGGGGCGCCGGGCGCTCACTGTTATCTGCAGCTGCTTCTACTTTCTTTCTAACAGAGACAGCAACTGTCATGACATGATTTTTAAAAGTGACAACCTTGTGAAGAATGTTGACCGGCACCGCTTTTAGGGAATGTGAGAGAAGGAAGTGGTTTCCCCGCCTCCAAGTCTCTCTAAATGTCAGCTCCAAGTCACGGTTCAACCCTCTAGCCTGGAATAATCTCTGCTCCTTCTTCTCTCCGAGTCCCACCTGTTAGATCACTTGTAGGTACGGGACACGTTGTAAAAGTTAACTCTTCCCCTTCCCGGGGATGGTTCTTCACACTGAATGTGCCCAAATGGGGAGCCCACAGCCCAGAAGCAGTGAGTTAGCATTAGACGGATCCTAATCAGAAATCGGGTCCGAGACACAGTTACAATGCAGATAACTTCAATACTGGCATCTAAAGCTGCACAGGAGTTTATTAGCATGAGGAATGTTACGAATAAAGAGAGGGTAAAGCGGGTCAAACATATGGTGAGGGAGGAGACTAGACTTTAGGTGGTGAGCATTCAATGGGGTATACATTTATTATGAGGTTGTACACTTGAAATGTATATAATGTTATTAACCAATGTTACTTCAATACATTTAATTATTTTATTTTTTCCATCACCAATTATCCCCCTATACCCTCTTCCACCTCCACCCACCCCCATCCCCCCACAATCACCACACTATGGTTCATGTCAGTGAGTTCTTTCTTTTTTCTTTTTTGCTCAATCCCTCCACCACCACCCCCAGCACACGCACCCCCACCCCAAACAGCTGTCAGCCTGCTCTCTATCTATGAGTCTGACTCTTTTTTTGCTTGTTAGTTCAATTTGTTCATTAGATTCCACATAAGAGTGAAGTCATATGGTACTTGTCTTTCTCTCACTGGCTTATTTCACTTAGCGTAATGTTCTCCAGGTCCATCAATGCAGTCAGAAAGGGTAAAATTTCCTTCTTTTTTACAGCTGAGTATTATCCCATTGTGTAAATACACCCCAGCTGTTTTATTCACTCATCTACTGATGGGCACTTGGGCTGCTTCCAAATCTTGGCTACTGTAAATAACGCTGCAATGAACATTGGGGTGCACATATTCTTTCAAATGTATATAATGTTATTAACCAATGTTATCCCAACACATTTAATTTTTTTAAAGAGAATTTACAGATGAAAGGAGTGGTGTTCAACATATGTGGTGGGTTCAAAATTTTCTCCAGCTCCAACACCCTCCTAAGGATGAGGCAGAAGCCCTCAAAGCGCTTCAGGGATGTGGGAAACCACTTATTGTCTTCACTAGCAGAGAGGTGTGGACAAGGAGCCCGGAATGCTGGTGACAAAATTTCCTTCTTTTTTATGGCTGAGTAGTATCCCATTGTGTAAATGTACCCCAGCTGTTTTATTCACTCATCTACTGATGGGCACTTGGGCTGCTTCCAAATCTTGGCTACTGTAAATAACGCTGTAATGAACATTGGGGTGCACATTCTTTCAAATGTCTATAATGTTATTAGCCAATGTTACCCCAATACATTTAATTTTTTTTTTAAAGAGAATTTACAGATGAAAGGAGTGGTGTTCAACATATGTGGTGGGTTCGAAATTTTCTCCAGCTCCAACACCCTCCTAAGGATGAGGCAGAAGAACCCTCAAAGCTTCAGGGATGTGGGAAACCACTTATTGTCTTCACTAGCAGAGAGGTGTGGACAAGGAGCCCAGAATGCTGGTGACCCTTGAACCCTGGCAAAGGTCAGGGCTATGCACCCACTGTTTAGTCCAGACAATGGTAGCTGAAGCAACTTCCCCACCAAATAGTCATGTAAATCCTTACTGATAAGATAGTCTTCCTGTTACTGGAAATTGCCTGCCTAAGGGCTATGGGTGTATCCCAAACTGAATAAAAGGATGGCAAGGCCTGAGCACAAGCAGAGTCCTTCCTCTTGGGATGGGCTCTCGCCTGGCCCCCCAATTTCCAAATTATTATTTCTTGTCTCGTCTCTGTCATTTGTGTGTGGCCTCTTCTCCAGAGCCCGGACCCTGAACTACGGCAGGACATGGGATATTCACACAGGGACACTTGGAGGCAAGAAGGAAGAATTTCCTATATGGTTGCCAACAGTTGCTGTAGGGATGTCTGGGGCCACATTTAATTCTAATAGATATGGCTGGGCCAGGAGAAAGTGCCTGAGCTTTGCGAGGATGAAATTTGTACCCACTGATAAGGTCAGACAATCAGATTTCTGGAGCCTTAAGAAGAAAACAGGGGACAGGAAGATAGAGACCCCGGGGAGTTCTTTACCCAACACGGCACTCACACCTTTTACAGCATGTAGGAAAGATCCCTCATTCCCAAGTGCTGATGAATACTACACCTGGGTCAGTGCCAAGACAAAGGGGATGCAAAATACTGAACCCAGCTTGAAAACTGAGAAGGCTTATCCTTTAGCCACTGTATACCTTCTTGAATCCTCCAAGCAAAGTGCCAATCGCCAGGTCAAATTCTTGGTCCAATTGCTCTTCATGTTCTGACAAGAAAAACAGTGGCCATTAGTTCCCAATCCAAATAAAACTGGTTGTCTTAATAGCAGAGGCACTAAGAGAAACTGGAATGTGTTCTGGAAAAGCCGCCTGTGGACTGAGCTACGGGCATGGAAACGTCAGGCTCCTGGATCCTCCTCTCCAGTTGTCTGTGAGCTGAGTTCCTGGAAATCCGTGGTGGGGCTGCTGGAAATGTCCCCTCCCACGTGGAATCAGGCTCACAAAGGGAGAGGTGTCCAGAGAGAAAGCTTCCAGCACAGGGACCCCCTGGACGGGTTAATGCAAATGCCCCACTTGTTCAGGTGGTATAATATTTTTAAAATATATTTTTATTGATTTCAGAGAGGAAGGAAGAGGAAGAGAGATAGAAATATCAATGATAAGTTTGATCGGCTGCCTCCTGCACGCCCCCTACTGGGGATTGAGCCCACAACCCAGGCATATGCCCCTGACCGGAAATGAACCCGAGACCCTTCAGTCCGCAGGTCAACACTCTATCCACCGAGCCAAGCTGGCCAGGGTTAAAATATTTTTATATATAGTTTTTCAATCCTCACTTGAGGATATGTTTTTATTGATTTTAAAGAGGAAGGGAGAGGGAGAGAGAAAGAAACATCTATGTGAGAGAGGAACATTGATCAGTTGCCTCCCACACGTGCCCCGAACGGGGATCGAACCCACAAGATGGGTATGTGCCCTGACCGGGAATAGAACCCACAACATTTCAGTGCATAGGATGAGCCGTACTGGCCAGGGCAAAATAAAATTTTTTTAAACAGATCATTCCACACATTGATGGTGATCAAGGCCTCATGATGTGAGATAATGCTAACAAGATTATAAAATGGAATCGTGTAAGAGTAATAAGTATGTTTATAAGGCAAACAACTGATATAAAACAAAATATAATAAAATCTTCATTCAAATACGTTTTGAGGGTGTATAATAACCAAGCAGGGTGTGAGATGCTAGGAATGAAACAGAAGAAGAGTGGCATGTCTTTTGCCCTCCTGGGGCTCACTGTACACTAGGTAAGAGAGACAAATGAATAATAAAAATTTACAGTAGTGCTGATGAGTGCCATGACACAGGAATGAGGAGGTGGAGTTCGAGTCTTGGGGTGTCTATGTGATATACAGTAGGAAGCTGGATGGGTATGGGTGGTGCTCAAGAGGGCCCTAAGTTGAAGATAAAGACCCAGGAGACCTCAGTATAAGGGTAGTGATGAAGCTTCCAGAAAGACTGACATCGCCCAAAATACACAGAGTGCACAGACAAGAATGAGGAGAACCACTGCTACTGGACCAACAAAAGTACAGAACCACAGAAGACCAAAAGGAGCGACCCAGAACGATTGCCGGAAAACCAGAAAGAGTATGCCACTCGCCCTAACTGGTTTGGCTCAGTGGATAGAGCGTCGACCTGCGGACTGGGGGGTCCCAGGTTCGATTCCAGTCAAGGGCGTGTCCCTTGATTGCGGACACATCCCCAGTAGGGAGTGTGCAGGAGGCAGCTGATCGAAGTTTCTCTCATCGATGTTTCTAACTCTCTATTCCTCTCCCTTCCTCTCTGTAAAAAATCAATAAAATATATTAAAAAAAACATTTAAAACAAAAAAAGAGTGTGCGACTCAAACTTAATCACGAAATGATGCTGATCTAGAGTAGAACAAAGAGGCAGAGTCACACACACTAGATGCAAACAGCAGCCCCAACTTCAAGCCAAAGGCAACACTGCCCCAGGAATGACAGAAAAGGGAGGGGTACTGAGCACTGGGCCAGGGGACCGCATGGCACAGCTCTGCCACACACACTGCATTCCAGGGTCCAGGAGGTGTGCTGGAGGTGTGTGGTTGCAGCAGAGCTCTGGTCCTTTCTGCCACAGCTGCACACATGCCACATTGTGTGAGTGTGTGTGTGTGTGTGTGTGTGTGTGTGTGTGTGTGTCTGCATGTGCACGTGCATGGGCGAACGTGCTGTGTCATGCACAAACTCAAGTCAAGGGAACAGCCTGCAAACAAATAGCAAGACACTGCAATCCAGCAAAGACATACAGGAACCTCCTAATTCATTAAGGCAAACTGGGTGGAAAACCTCTCTGCTTCTTGTCTTTTTGGTTTTGGCTTCACTTTCATACACTGAGAAATCGCCAGAAACATCAGAATTATAAAGAATTGAAACAAGGCAGAAACTTGAGTTCTTTTTTTCCTCCTTTTTAAAAAGAGTACAACCAGAAGCAGTGAAATTTTCCTAAGCACCAGGTAAACTGAAGCTGGAGCACACCGCCCTCTAGTGGGAAAAAGGAATTCTGTGCAGACTGGAGAATTATGAGGACATCCTGTCCAGCAGGGGCGCTGTCCTACTGAAATACTATCTCACACACATTGGTAATTTTAAAGTTTCTAGTAGCCACGTTTTTTAAAGTTTTTAAAGAGTAAAATTAATTTCATATATTTTCGTTATCTCAATCTATCCAAAACATTATTTCAACATGGAATCAGGATTAAACAACTATGGATGTGTTACTCTGCATTCCTTTTTCTTACTCCTTAATTCTTAAAAGTCCAATGTACACGTTATCCTAACAGCACATCTCAACTGGAAGTGGCCACGTTCCAAGTGCTCGTTAGCCACGTGTCTAATGACTACAGTAAATGGACAGCGTAGCTCCAGGCCAAAATTCCCCCTCGCGCTTTGGAAAATTCCTACAAGCCACCCTCGTCTGACCTCGTGACACAAACAAACGTCATACAAAGTGCTCGTTAGCCACGTGTCTAATGACTACAGTAATGGACAGCGTACCTCCAGACCAAAATTCCCCCTCTCGCTTGGAAAATTCCTACAAGCCACCCTTGTCTGACTTCGTGACACAAACAAATGTCATACAACACACATGTAAAACCGCAATTTAAACCCATTCACACCCCCTTAGGAAATCAATTCGGTTGACACGGGAGAATGGAGGCTGAGACTTGCAGCAGGAGCTCCTTCCCAGAGGAGCCAAGGCCCCAGAACTTCTCTCTCGTTAAGCCTTCTGGGTAGGCATCCCATGCTCTCACTCTTCGGGCGAGAACAGCTTTCATCGTAAGCCACATACTACACTCAAGCAGGAGGAGCCTTCCCTGCCCAGGGAAATTGTCTCCCCACCACACACGCCTGACTGTAGGCGTCCTGGTCCCATTTTCCCACAATGCAGTGCTGCACCAAAGCGCCTGAGCGCATAGAAATGAAACAGTTTCTGCTGGTGAGCCCTCCTGGCTAAATCAGCTGTGGATTCTCCTCTCTCCAACCACCACCCAACAAGAGGATACATCAAAACCCCACCCTACCTACTGGGTGAGAGAATTTGCATGTTAATCGCTGCCACTGGGCCCTGGTGGTGAATCATTTACTTAAAAGCTCTAGCTAAGCTTCCCCTTTCACCCTCAGCACTTTGATGGGGTGGGGTAGGGGGAACTGGAGGGCAGGATCAGTGACAGGGGAGGGGGGCATTACACACTCACATGCCCTCCTGTGATACAAGCCACCGCCAAGGAGTAGCAACCCAATCGTGGCTTAATGCCTCCTGAGGCTTCTATGCATTTGAAAATCCTCATCCGCTCCTACTGGTTCTTTGGTTTTCTAGGGAGCCTGCAGGTATAGAAGACTGTGTAGTAAATGAGAGTAGAGAAAGGGAGCAGGAAAACAACTTCTAAAGATGAGGTAATGGAGTGGTAAGCAACTCTCAGATATTCCTATAGAATATGGCGTACAAGATGGGTGACAAGGCGCTGGTTTCCCCACATTCTTGAGGTGTGGGGGCTCCTTCTCTCCTGTCTCCCGACTGCCACTCAGGGAATGAAAAAGTGATTTAGAAATCCCCCAAGTAAAAGGAGACCATATATGTAAGTAGGATGCAAGGCAATAAAGGACGTAAAAGGTCTCAAACCTCCCAACAGGGACTCACCTAAGGAATTCTGGGT